GATGTCAGTAGTTTCTGAAATTTCTTGGCAGAGTTTGAAACCACTTTTTGGCATGGTCATAAGTTAACTACTGTGGAATTAGTCTCTGGTGCAAACCTAGACTATTTCAATATGCAGTAAAAGAGTGAGAATTAGTTTTCTTTACCTCATTTGTCTCAACAGTTCCCTGGTCTGAAATGTATCCCAAGGATGGTTTTTTGATTTAAATATTTACTTATTAATATGTTTGGCTTAACAAGAAAAACTGAACAACTACTAAATTTCTGGATGCTGGTTTTAGCTCTGAAGTTCAGGTTATAACAGAGTTCCTCTTTTGGGGGTTTATATTAGTATTTAGGATATATAAACTCTTCTCCTCCTTGTCTGGGTGATAATCTTGGAGAAATGATGCAGTCTACAAATTCCTCACGAGGGGAAAGGGAGGGGCAGGCAGAGGTCTCTTTTCTGGTGACTAGCGATAGGACCTCAGAGAATGGCCTGAAGTTGTGTCAGCGCAAGTTTAATTTGGATATTAGAAAAAGGTTCTTCCTCCAGAGGGTGGTTGGACACCGTAACAGGCTCCCCATGGAAGTGGTCACAGCACTAAGCCTCTAAGGCACATGGTGTGACTCTTGGGAATGGTCCTGTGCAGGATTAAGGGTTGGATTCAATGATTCCTGTGGGTCTATTCCAACTCAGAATATTCTGGGGATCTGTGAAACTATCTGGGTATGACAAAAGACAAGACATGACAGAGTTCCCAGATTCCTCCTCTAGCAGCCACACTTCCAGGTGTTTCTGATTCTGAGGTTTTGTATGAAGTACCTCATCACTCCCAGAGCTTTCTTCAGAGGAGTAGCATATCCCAGGGGTGACTGTGCTTAGGACAGAACCTAAGCAAAAGCAAAGCTAGTATGAAAGGGAACTGATGGGAATGGTGAACTTTCTTTTCCCTCTAAGCTAAACTGGAATCTTTGAGGGATTACTGGTTTGCAAAGAATGCTAATTAAAAGAAATGGAGCCTATAGTTTTTCTCCAACTTTTTGGTTTGTGAAGACACCTATGGATTACACACCTCATAAAATACTGGAATGTGAGCAGTAATACTTTTGTACATGTACATAAACAGAATATGATTCCAAGTTGCAGCTCCTTAGTGCTGCTGTTGTCCAAAGAAATTCAGAGAAATCTGAGCTTGCATTCTTAACTCCCATATATCTTCAAATGAAATGGCAAAGGGCTGGAATCTGTTAAAGGTAACTCACCAGTTGGCTCACGTGCTTGGGATGGAAAAAAATACCCTGGGCTGTGCATGGCATGTCACTCCAAAGGATACCTCTCAACCCCAGAAAAATAAGGGAGGTGATCATTCAAAATAGTGAGGTGAGATGAGATGAAAAGACTCTTTACCAGAAGAACTGTCCAGTTTCCAAGTCATACTTGGTCACTTGAAAAAGGCTGCCTGGGAAATTGTTTTTTAAAGTTCTGCTAAGGGAATCTGTGTTTCTCTCCAGCTGTGTGTTGTTCTCCCTTTCCAAAGCTGAAAGTCTTTTCCTTTGAAGACAGAATGTATTTTGTTATAACTGATATATCTTGTAACTGATGGGTTATTCCCATCAGTTTGAGAGAAGAAAGCTACTGTTTGAACTCATATAAACCTGTGTCCATGAATTCACAGAGCTGAAATGATTACAAGCTTTCTGAAACCCATAAAGTGCAAAGGTGATCTGTGCATCTACTGCAAATCAAACAGTGTGCATCAGAACTAGATAGCTTAGCGCTCTATTGTATACATTAAACAATTACTATAACTATTTTAGAAAAACATAAGCAAGCTTCCTACACTATTTTGGTTTCTTTAGAATAATTAAATGAAATTAAATCTCTGAGTCATGGTTCATACTGATATGTTTGGAAATCTATTTCTCAGATGAAAGAAATAATGATGACTTTGCACTCTCCAAGTCCCTGTGACACCAGAAACAACCATCTTCATTTAGGTTTTATCAGTCTATAGGCATTTGATTGATTTGTGCTATGGTAACTGAGGGCAGAATTTGACCATTTAGCTTAAAAAAAAGGGGGAAACTTCTCTTTATAGTGCATACAGAACCATGTTTTAGGGTAACAGACTAGAGGAAGAACAAACTAACAACTGTGTATTGAAAGAGACTGTGGAGCTTCAACACCTGGAAGGCATTTACTGAATCTCCCTTGAAGCAAGGAAGTCCAGCAATAAGAATAAAAGACAGAACAGTGTCTCTTGGTATTTGCTTTCATTGTTGTTATTTCAGCTCCATGTTACAGACACAGAAGTAGTTCCAACCTGAATTATTATTTTAATAATTAATATTATCTACCAAATTATAATTTTTAGAAATCTAAGCACAACAGAAACAGCTGGTTGACTATTCAGTTTAAAGATAATATATGAAACTACATGAACTTGACAATGCTGACTGTAGGTGATGTCCCTGATCTTACAGCTGGGTCTTGTAATAGAAAACATCTGTTTTCTATTATGTTGACTGTATTTTAGCTACCTAGCTCTTTCTACTGTTTTCAGTTTAAAAGTGTTACTTTTACAAATAAACCAGTTTCAATAGCCCTGTCTCTACTGAGCAATGAATCTTTATCTCCAGGGAACTGGACACGAGCCTCACCAACACTTTAACACTGCTTTGTCTGTCTGCAGAGTGCTGAAAATAATTACTTCCTTTCTCTGGACAAGGACAGCTTTCTTTAGTCCTGGACCTCTTGCTCTGCTGCCTTCTGCACCTGCTGTGTTTTCCTCCCACTTACAACTTCAACTGTGCCCTTGATTTATAGCAGTGTCACCCAGTGATCCTTCTGCAAAGGACAGGGAAGCATATAATATTCCAGTCATTATTGTATGTCATAACTAGGGAATGTTGTAAGAAAGTGAAAATGAGACTCATCATATTTATGGATAAATACATATATGGTTTTTTTGCACATTCAGTCCAAGCATTACACACTGATGGTATCTTTTCACGTACCGTTTCTTGTGTCATCAAGTGAGCTCTTGATCCATAGCAGGCAGTTACAGTTTTCTTATTGTTATCATTTTAGACAGAATGTTAATGATTTTATGAAGAGAGCTTATGGAACCCTTTGAAGATGGCTAATACATCCAGTGCTGATTGTAATTTCTGTACCATATGCACAGAATAAGAAAGCAAGTCTCCCAGTAATTCTAGTGATTTCTAATCTGCCTGTGTAAGGACAAACCTTGTAGAAAATTTATGTCTGTATAAATGTGTTTGTATATCAGAAGAACAGAATAAGGCTCTCAAGAAAATTTAGATAGTGCAATAGAAATCCATTTAAATAGGAACATACCCTCTGTTGCCATTAGTCTACTGAACAGTTTGGTATCTTTCCTCAGTCATTAAGTCATCTTTAAACAAGGTGCCGAAGGACTTTGCTGTTACTGCTTTTTCTTGGCAGCTTAACTAACCAAGAAAACTGAATAAAGTTAATCAAAATCTCATCCTCAGCAGAGATGCAACAGAAGTAAATGTTATTTCACAAACCTTGTGTCACTTACGCCTCCACAAGGTAAGTGCTGAGCTAAGGCTCCGTGTCCCATTCTAGGAAGAGGGCTGTATGAGATCACTCAAACACATTCCTACTGAGTTATAAATGCATAATTTTAAGTATGTTTGTTTGGAATTTGCATTTGTACTCTATGAAGAGGGATTCACTCTGCACATCTCATAGGGCAGTCAATTTAAACTCCATCCATTTAAAGCACATAATAAAGAAAAAAGATTTATAACTGCTGACCAAAATGCTTATGGTTGCCTTGAAAATTCCTGCTCTTTCCCCACTCTGCCCTCTTGGGGTTACAGAGGAGGGAAAGCAGATGTTAACAGTATGTCTGTCACACATCACTTTAATACTGTAGATTCTTTCCAGTAGAGATAGATGCTTGCCATGCAAATGGTACCTACCACAATGGGAAGCCTGCTCTATTTGAGGGCTCTTAGCACCTACACAACCCACTCAAATTCTCAAGTCCCCTCCAGGATCTTCTAGACTGAGGGACTCACTTCCCGTGTTTGATGCAACCTGGGCATCACCATTTTTCAGATGGTATGGCTCACTAATTTCTCATTTGCCGTTGTGCAAGGAATTGTATTTCAGGGAAAAGACATCGAGGATGAAAGAGACATCACTTATGCTGGTTTTGATCCTTGTTTATTCTGGATGCTGAGCATCTTCTATATTTTAAGGTAGAAAAAAGAATGTCAGAGCAGAAACAAGAGTAGCAGGCTAAAAGCAGGAGGGGAGATGAGGAAGCTAAGTCTATATGTCTTAGTATGTATTTATCTTGCTATAAAATTCATATACATGGTGTAACGCAGTGGAACACAACTACTGGATAGATTTGTTTTCTTTTGTCTCAGAACATAGTACCTAGAGCAGTATTGCTGTTTCTTGCTAGGCAAGAAACACAGCCATAAATCACCGTCAAAACAAAAATGGATAAGCTGACGTGCTTTGGGCAGTTAGATGCTTAACACTCAGGCCCTTTTTCCATTTGTCCTCTCTGAATTAAATAAACAGGTACTACAGAGCTACTCTATTTGGCCCTAACTTCATTTTCCGTGACACTGAATGCATAACTACCATGATATGCACTGACATCCCAGAGACCGAACCAAAAACATCTCCTGCAAAAACATTAAATAATTACAGCTAGAACTAAGGAACCAGTGTTTCCAAGTTTTTTCTAGAAATAATATCTGTGTTTGGTGATTCTGGCCCCACAAGGACTGATCTGCAGTATGCTCAAGAGGTAAAATTAGAATTCTCCAGATATTTGAGGGAGCGCTTTGATCTTTGCAGGCTAAGTTCTTCCATGAATTATGCTGTTCTACTTAGTTCCTATTCTATTTTAGATCTCAGATATTTGGTTTGGATCCATCTTATTTAAACTGGAACTGTATCCACAACTATCCTTTTTTTACACATTTGACTAGTGTTACCAGAGTTGAAAAGGTTTGTTTCACTAGGTCATGTAGAGCAGAGTTTGTGAAAACCTCACAACCTTCTGTTGTGAACCTGTCAAAATCCATGGTGTTCTGAGTTGCAAAAAGGAAATACTTTGATCAATGGAGAAAAAAAGAA